GTAAATTGAAAAGGTTAATTACAATAAACTGAAAAGCTATACCTTGTGGCAGTAATGGAAATTATCCAGTTTTACCAAAACTTTATCCATTTTTTTTCCCAAAATTTTCAATAATGTTATAACAACTTTTCACTTAGAAATTTAGTTGTACATTAGGGGCAGTAATAAATTAAAATAGTTGTAATTAATTATATCCTGCTTGTTATTTCCATCTGCTTACCCTCAATACATGTATTTTACAGAACATGAAATTAAGCATTGTTTTCATTTAGTGAAAAGCACAAATTGTTGGTTCCTCTCTTTTCCTTTTTATTCATGAATTTATTGATTGGTTTATTACTTGGTCGGGTTATTCTTGAAACAAGTAATTATTGGGTGCCTGGATATTGGTACTGTGATGGACATGAGGAAGATTGAGTAGGACAGATGCCCTGTATCTGTTTTCTTACTCTTATGGGCTCATCACATCATAATGCTGTTATGGAATAGATTGTTCCATTAAGATGTCATTTAAAATTTTTTTTAAATGTTTTATTTATTTCTGAGAGAGGGAGAGAGACAGTATGAGCAGGGGAGGATCAGAGAGAGAGGGAGATGCAGAATCCGAAACAGGCTCCAGGCTCTGAGCTGGCTGTCAGCACAGAGCCCGATGCGGGGCTCGAACCCACGAACTGTGAGATCATGACCTGAGCCGAAGTTGGACGCTTAACGGACTGAGCCACTCAGGCACCCCTAAGATGTCATTTTAGATTTTTACCACAAATGTTATTTTCTGAAAGGAAGAAGGACTTAGGTAATGAGTAGAAAGCATATGTTTTTATGCCTTCTCCCCCCCACCCCAACTCTGTTTTATGACATTAGCTGGAAAAAAGAAAAGAGAAATTGTTTTTCTAACATGCTTAAGAAATCAGAGGTGCTTCTATACTAGTTGCTTGGCGTCAAATTTCTTTTTAAATAAACCATTTCACACAAACACAGAACATATAATGGACAAATAAGGAGGATAATGTGAAGAGTGGTACTTAAGAAGGAATGAAATTGATCTTCCCATGGAAAACTATATTTCTGTCTTTCCACTCTTAATGCTTTTTCCATTTGTGGGGGCAGTATTGACAAAGCTTAAGTACTGTGTGGGTGGATGATTCTGTAATTATCTACAGACATATAAGGAGGACACTGTAGGTAAACACAGAGAATATTATGAAGTAATGGCTAAATGATAAGAAAAAGTAAAGCTGACTTATGGAAACCTCTATTTCTGAGTTCTTAATAACTCCCTTCTCTCCTCACTTGTGCCTTTTGGAGTGATTTTGGCAGTATTGGCAAAATTAAAGTAGCATGTGGTTGATTCTGGAATCTTTATTTCCATATGCTCCTTAATTTCATCATCCTGAAGTTGCAACTGTAACAATAGCTAAAGGATGACTGGTTTTTAAAAATATTAGTGGTCAGAACACTGTCACTTAGCAATGCACTGGATGGGATGCCCGGGGGGCTCCCTTGGTGAAGTGTCCGACTCTGGATTTCGGCTCAGGTCATGATCTCACGGTTGTGGGATCAAGCCCCGCCTCTGTGCTGACAATGCAGAACCTGCTTGCGAGTCTCTCACTCCCTCTGGCCCTCCCCCCTGCACTCTCTCTTAAAATAAATAAACATAAAAAAAAAAGAAATACACTGAAATGTATATTCACAAACGTTACATACCCTAGATCTGCCAAGGTCCCCTCTCCTTATGGACTTTTATAAACTTATGGCTTTTATATGACATTCTAGGCCTTTATGAATATCTAGATATTAGATAGATTAAATTATTCAAATATTCTTAAATGTTACTTAGTCATTTATTTTGAAAAATTGGAAAAGACTTTAAAGAAATAAAGATCTCTTGGACCACGTGGGTGGCTTAGTCTGTTGAGCAACCGACTTTGGCTCAGGTCATGACCTCATAGTTCATAGATTCGAGCCCCGCGTCAGGCTCTGTGCTGACAGCTAGCTCAGAGCCTGGAGCCTGCTTCGGATTCTGTGTCTCCCTCTCTCTCTGACCCTCACCTGCTCATGCTGTGTCTCTCTCTTTCTCAGAAAGGAACAATTTTTTAAACACATACACATGTCTTTCGCTTCAAGGGATAGTTTAATACACTGTAAAGAAATTTATCACCGGAGGAGTAAACTTAATATTGTAGATTGCATTAGAGATTACAGAATTATTTTATTTTTAAAATATGACATTTAATCGTGAAAAAATACTCATTAATGCCTGGTTAAAGAAGGATTTACTAATTGGCTTTTATCGCAAAGAAATCCTGTATATTATTATAGACCATGTTGCCACCAAGTCGTCATTATTGCTATAAAGTTAGGGATGTGGGCAAAAGCTATTTTCGCTGTGAACAATGTGGGGAGAATACAGCTGTTAATACTGTGTTGCAAGTCAGTATCCAAGAGCTAAAAGGAGTGCCCTTTTCAATAACAAGAAAAACAGATAAAAAGGAATCTAATAAATTTTGCTTGGAAACCTTTAACACGGAAGGAAGGTAAGTTTCAAGGATAATGAAATGGCTAAAAATGTTTGCTGTGTAAAGACTCTTTATAGACCAGAAGACATTATAAAAATGTCATTTTTAATAGCTTGAACGTGAGGCTATCCTCTCATTTCTGCTTTGGAAATAAGTTGTCATTCATAAGCTGTCATTTTTTTAAACAAATTTTTTTAATGTTTTATTTATTTCTGAGAGAGAGAAAGGGGTAGTGTGAGCAGAGGAGGGTCAGAGAGAGGGAGATACAGAATCCGAAGCAGGTTCCAGGCTCTGAGCTGTCAGCACAGAGCCCGATGCGGGGCTCGAACCTACGAACCAGGAGATCATGACCTGAGCCGAAGTCGGACGCTTCACCGACTGAGCCACCCAGGCGCCCCTAAAAAATTTGTTTTAAAAATAAAGAAATAAATGGGGATGAGCACTGAGTGTTATGTGGAAACTAATTTGACAATAAACTATTTGTAAAAAATAAATAAATAAATAAATAAATAAATAAATAAAGATTGGTCATCACTTTAACATTTTAAGATGTTAACAGCTTTTCATTATAAATCTTAACTACTGTGAGTTTTGTTTGGCTCTTAAGTTCTTTTCAATATAAGAACTTAATATAAGAACAGAAATAAGGAATGGAATCAATTCAATCAACACATCATCCTTGAGTGCCTCTTAACAGCATAGCAACTTATCAGAACCACAGAGATGTGGCAAAAGGAGTGCTTGTCCTCAGGAAACTGAAGGCCCATTTGAAACTGTCACAGATAGTTTTGTTTAGTGCAGCCTCAGTGTTCATTTGAAGAAGATCATTAAAGTGTATATTTTTTACATTTTTATTCCATATCAATAATTCATATTAATTTCCTTAATCAGTTCGGCACAAATGTAGAGTTCTTACATAGGAAGACTTGTTTTAGGACCGTAAGTAAAATCAGCAGCCTGTAACAAGCACTAAATCTAACCTTGGGAAAATAGAGTATATAGCAAATTGAGAATGACATATTATTCTGAAAAAATAGAAGGTCTTTTATATTAAACCATGAGAGTATATATGATCTATGTGCTGGAAAAGTTCTTTACAAAGATTAAGATAAAATTAACATGTTCAGATATTTACAACACAGTCCCGAATTGAGCTAATTGAAAATATGTTTTTCAAGTATTTTCAGAGATACTCTAATTGAAGCTACAATTTTTTCCATATGTTTTGCTTCCACTTTTATTTCTGGCTTGGAGAAAAAAAGAAAAGCATATGAGAGTAGTATGTGGTTTGTTTTTAATTCATATAACTTTCAAATAGAGGTGTTGATTTTCATGTGCATTAGAACCTCAGAGTAGTGACGCTGTTCCTTTATAAAGAGTTTGCATCTTTAGAGGCCTCCCCTGGGGTGAGGGAAGATGAAGAAACACAAGGAAAGTTGTTAAATTTGCGGTAGGACATCGAAGGATCTCGTTTGGCTTGCATTTCAGAAAAGAGTTCATATTAAGACATGGACAGTAATATGGGATATATTCTGAGGTCATAGAACTGAAAAACTGAGAGATACTTTAACTGTTGGATATCACTATTAACACTGGCTAAAGAATAACAGTTTTCTAATCTTGAGAAAAAGACTCCTATCATAAAACAAGAGAATTCTCTTTTAACTAATAACTTGAGTTTTTATTCACTAGATCTTTACATGAGCTTCAAATTTGTGGAAAGATTGATTTGCTTTCCTTTTTGTCCAAATGGTTTCCACTTCTTCTGTATAAAATCTGAATTCCTATTTAGTCATCTCCTATAAACACTGGAAGGAACAAACTAGAAGACGTTGGAGGGAAAGGGATAAACCCATGTAAAATATGAAAGCAACTCTGATCTTTCAGAGTCAGCAGGTCTGACCCTCAGCATCACTGGATGTGAGGCGAGGTCAGGATGACGGAACAATGGCAGTTCAAGACAGCAGATACCCAAGTGCCCTTGCTCCTTTCATTCTTCTTCATGAACCTGTTTTCCAGGCCTTCTTCTATCTGCTTACTTGACCTTTCTGTATTTCTCTACATCTGTCTTTAACATGGGGCTTGCCATTGGACCTGGTTGACACTCCAAAGACTTGACCACCACTGAGTTTACAGGCACTTTGAATCATTGGACGGTAGATAAAGGGTGGGGAGAGGGTACAACTTGGAGGATTTTTAAATATCCATTTTGAGACTTGTATGTTAGCATGGTATTCTAACATATTGTACATCTGCTTTTCTTTGATCAGTTTTTACTGTTCGTCTGCTGTCAGCCCTTTGGCCTGGAACTGATTATTTAGGGAAAATTGGTAGAGCCATCTGGAAACATGAGCAACTTGAGTTTCTGTCTGATTTCTAATGCATGTTCTGATTGATGCTAATTATACAGTTCATTTCATTATTTATTGTTTCTGTTTATTGTTGGAAAAGAAAATCCTAATCTAAAATGAATTGTTTTCAAAGGCTTTGGACTTGGCTGCCCTCTCCACAGAGTACTCTCAGTACAAGGACTGGTGGTGGAAAGTACAGATTGGAAAGTGTTACTACAGGTAAAATTTGGATGATTTGTGAAGTGCTTAGACATGGTGACATATTTCAGAGTCTCAACTCTGATCATTCTTTTTCTGGGTAGATTTCCTGAGGAAGAAATAAGAAACTGGGTGTTTGAGTTACTTGAGAAAGCACTTCCTGAACAATCACATGGTAACACTAAGAACTGATACCTTTAAAATAATAAAATTGTAGGGGTGCCAGGGTTGGTTAGTTGGTTAAGCATCCAACTTCAGCTCAGGCCATGATCTCATGGCTCGTGGGTTTGAGCCCTGTGTCGGGCTCTATGCTGACAACTCAGAGTTCGGAACCTGCTTCAGATTCTGTGTCTCCCTCTCTCTCTGCCCTTCCCCTGCTTGCACTTGGTCTCTCTCTCTCTCTCAAAAGTAAATAAACATTAAAAAAAATTTAGAATAGTAAAATTGTAGTGCCAGGCCAGGGAAACTTTGAAACCATCAGCTACAACAGCCCTTTTCAGCTGAGGATACTGAGGCCAGAGAGAGCCTGTTATTTGCATCAGGAACTAGTTAGTAAGAGACCAGTTACTAATGGACCTCTTAGCGCTAAGGCTGTTAATTCCCATTCTTCTCCTCTTGCTCTCAAATCTTTTTATTTCCCCTGATGCCTCACATCTGTAACATGCTTTACAGTTGAGAGGTAGTTTGTCCATTTGTTACTTTATCTTATTTAAATCTCACAACACCCGGAGGTAGTTGCAATTATTAGCCCTTTATCCAGATGGGAAAAATTGAGCCTCAGACAGATAAAAGTGACTTGTCCACATTCACACAGCTGGTAAGTGGCAGAACAAGAATTAGAGCTCAGTTTTCTGAGGCAAATAGTTCTCTTACTATTTGCACAATTCCATGGTGTTTCTCTAGGATCTGAATATTCTTACATTAATTCACTTAATGTTTAAACACATTTTTAAGCAAATTAACTGAGAGGTCCAAGTAATTGTAATTAATTTTATGAGTACTACACAGCAACTAGTAAAGGATCTAAAACTTATTGCCTAGAATTGAAGTACATTTGGAGCATTTGAAAAATAGAGACAAACGGGAAGTTGTATTTTATAAAGTTGTATTTTATAAAGATAAATATGTCTTTGATTATTCAAAATCAGGTAGACCGGTTACTCTGAGCATCCTTCAGATGAACTTATCATTCCAACACTGTGAGGAAAAGGAAATATATAAATGGAATAAAAAGGATGGTTCTTATTTTTTAGTTGAAATTAAGACTACTTTCCACTTAGATGTTTTACGTAGAACTTAAGTGTTTTTTCTGCTGTTAGACCGAGGAAGTATTTTCTACTAAAAGGTAATTTCATAGCATTATACCATTAAATTTTTAGGAGTATAATTTCTGAAGGCAAGCTTGAAATCTTGAGCTTCTAAACGAAAGCTTAAGAAATCTTTAATAATTAAAGAAAAGCACAATGTGGACTCCTTCTGCCATCCACGTAATATGACATTTAAATGAGTGCACCTTGTTGTATTAGTCAGTGTTCCTCTCTGTCCCGTAATAGCCTTTCATCTTTAGTGTGTTCTCAGCACTCCCACATTCACTCATCACTAAGCTGTTTAATGAGGTACTACCCTGCTGGGCACAAGGGTTACCAATATTTATCAGACAGTCTTTCCTTTAAATGGTTTACAGTTGGGGCACGTGGGTGCCTCAGTCAGTTGAGCATCTGACTTCGGCTCAGGGCATGATCTTGTGGTCTGTGGGTTTGAGCCCTATATCAGGCTATGTTCTGACAGCTCAGAGCTTGGAGCCTGCTTTGGATTCTGTGTCTCTTTCTCTCTCTCTGCCTCTCCCCCATGCACACTCGCTCTCTCTCTCAAAAATAAATAGAATAATAAGTGATTTACAGTCAAATAGGGGAGAGAGGACAGTAAATAATTATAAGCCTGGCTCCCACCATGATAGAAGCAAGCCCAGAGAAAGAGCTCCCAATTTGGACTGGAGAGGTCAAGGGTGGATTACCAGAGGATATAGCCCCAAATTTTGCTCTGATCAGTAAATTATGCCAGTTCTTTGTCTACAGGTAGCTCTCACAGTTGTTCCCTTACCACCCATTCTCACACCAGTGCCTGAATTCTGGCTTTTCGTTTTGTTTGAATTGTTCCATTGGCTTCTTATCTGGGTTCTCTGCCCCATTTTCCTGCTCCATTAGCCCTTCTTATATACTACCGTCAGAACAGTGTTGTGGGAAAAAAAACAGCTCTTGTTGGAGCCTTTGGTTAATCTCCACTACCTGTAGGATGAAATCTGGATTTTAAACGTGGTAGGCCTGATCTTGCCCCAGCCCACACGCTTGCCCCTCTTTCTCTTCTCACGTTACTTATCGTGTCCTCGCTTCCAGCTGAACCAGACAACTAAGCGTTCCCGCACCACGCTGTGCAGTGTGTTCTCTGTGTGTCTGTGAAGACAGTTTGCTTCTAGTGGAGATGTTCCCCTACCCCCACCCCACCCTATCTAGCCTTCAAAATCTTGCCTGTCTCTTCTTTCCTGAAACTGTCTTGGCTCACTCCTCCTCTGTGCTCTCAAAGCACTTTGTTTCCTCTTATTGGCCATAATATGATTCCATTTATTTGTGAACATGTTTTGTTTCATTCTTACTGGTGCCTTTAGGACATTGTTGTGATCTTCATTTTTGTGTTATGAACTGTGCATGCAGTTGGTACTTGACAATATTTATTGAATTAAATTGGAGAGAAAAACTTGGCATTTGGTGAGGTTATCTCTAGACTTTGATATTGGCCGGTGTTCCTGAACTTGACTGATATTTTCATTATTCCTAGACTTTATACATGGCCCACTTAATTTCCTTTGCATAAGAACCCATGTGGTTATTCCTTTTTGATAGTACTAGAAGTTATCTCTTGAGGATGAGGTAATAAAAAAATATATATGACCCATTCTTCTGTTCTTCGATTTCCAGGGTAGTTAAATGCCTCTGATTGTTTTTTTGTTTTTTTAATTTGTTTATCTTTCTATCCCCATTGTTTGAAAAAAATCTGTTTCTGTTTTCTCATTCTTATTTTGTGCGTATTTATAGGATTACATTATAATCCCTCTTAAGTCATTTTGGGAAGAGACATCATATTAGATAAAAATATCCAGATTCTCATGGATAATTAAGTGTTCACCGAATTCAGTGGCTGAACTTTAGCCATATGCTTAAGACTTGAATGTTCTGTTGAAGCTTTGTATAGAGCTATACTGTTTTTCAGAACTTTAGAGTTCTTTGGTAACATTTTATGAATACTTCTGTAAAAGTTATAGGAGCTTTGAAGAGATGGGGCCTTCTGCCATTTCACACATTCTCTCTAACTTTAGGGTAGTGTTTTGGGGGGTCGCTTTTAACCCCATTAAGCCTACATCTTCCAACAGCTGTTAAGAAATAGCTGTTTCATTCACTCTGAATGGAAGTAGCATGAGGGAACATACTGTGTATTGTCACAAAGTAAAAGCATCATAAGGTGCCCAAGTAGCTCTTGGCTGGCTAGGGATGAGTAGTTAAGAGAAAATCCAACAAACTCAGAGCCTGGAGCCTGCTTCAGATTCTGTCTCCCTCTCTCTATGCTCCTCCTCTGCTCACACTCTGTCTCTCTCTCAAAAATAAACAAACATTAAAAAAAATTTTTTTTTTTTAAAAAGAGAAACTCTGACAGATCTAGAAGAGGCTCAAGTGTGCTTCGATGATTGATTTAGTGGTAATAGAATGTTCCCTGGGCTGATATCAGGACAGGTACAATGAGGCAAGGATCAGATCTCAGATTTGTAGACTAGGACAATCTGTATTGGATACGAAGATAAAAAAGGAAAAGAAAACGTTTCTAGAATCATAAAATGGTATATAGTTGTTTCCCTCAAGTAGCAATGACTACTTACATCAAAACTGTTTAAGAATGGCTTTAAAAATGGGCCTTTGTCCCAGAGCAGGCAATATTTTCATTGAATGCCATCAAGTTCTTCCAATAAAATGGGGACCCTAAGCATTTATTCAGGTCACTTGTCATATGTCCAACTGATTATAAGCTCCTCTTTGGGTGGTAAACTGGTGTGACCTTGCTCTCCGGCAGCTGTTGGCTCTGCTGTCCAGGCAGACTTTTTACACACCAGTTGAGGGGCACACAGAGAGTATGGGAAATAGCAACTTCTTGCTCAGCTATACAAACATAATGCAATATTAATTTATGTGTGTATGACATTACCTTCTTTAGTACACGCTTACTCTTAGAGATAGAAATGTAATTTATCTCTATTCATATGCTCAACGTGTGAATAAGTACCGTAGTATTTATTTTTAAGTTGAATGTCTAATTCTTTAAATGGCTGTTCTTAGGTTAGGAATGTATCGCGAAGCAGAAAAACAGTTTAAATCAGCCCTGAAGCAGCAGGAAATGGTAGATACATTCCTCTACTTGGCAAAAGTGAGTATTCTTAAACTGGAGTGAAATCTGTCTTCTCAAAAAAAGTGTTCAAATTCTGGCCAGTATACATGGAGAGTTGCCATTTCTTCAGGAATATTTGGCAACTAAATGTGCTCATATTTTTCTTTATTGCAAGTGGAAAAGTGAGACCATATGGAGGGTAACGGTCTCAGGAGAAATGGATTGCCATGAAAAATAAGAAAACCCCTTTGAAAGATTGCCCGTCAGAGCAGAAGAAATTGCCACAGGCTTGTTACCACCCTCATGGGTGACAGGCCTTCGAGAGGCCCTCGTCCCTACAAACTGCTGGACTCCCACCTCAGCACACGGTAGACAACGGGGACTGTTTTTACGTAGGTCCTTCGTTTCTTGGCTCAGCCATAACAAAGATTTCCCCGTTACTGAACCCCTGTTCAGTACAAGGTATTATATCAGGTCTGTTCCACACACAGTTTAATGTCAGCCTCACAGCAACCCCGCAAGGTAGGTTTTAACACTTCCCTTGTACTCTTATGGCCCCAGAGACCTAAAGAGGCTCCAGTAGGCTTCTCAGGGTCGTTTCGCTGTTTAGAGCCAGCATTGAAACGCAGGTCTTCCTACTCACTGCCACCAGCCACAGCAGTGGTGAAGGGCCACTTAGAAGTTTCAGTCCTGGGAGAAAAGTTACTTCTTGGCTCCTCAGCAGGGCTGCTTGAAACATTTGATGAAGTGACAGTGAGGACATTATCTTGCTGGGTCTTGAAGAATGTTTTTTTTAATGTTTTATTTATTTCTGAGAGAGAGAGAGAGAGAGAGAGACAGCATGAGTAGGGGAGGGTCAGAGAGAGAGGGAGACACAGAATCTGAAGCAGGCTCCAGGCTCTGAGCTGTCAGCACAGAGCCCGATGCGGGGCTCGAACCCACGAACCGTGAGATCATGACCTGAGCTGAGGTTGGACGCTTCACCTACTGAGCCACCCAGGGGCCCCTTGAAGAATTTCTTTTAAATTAAAAAGTGCCAGGGCTCCTGGGTGGCTCAGTTGGTGAAGCGTCTGCCTTCAGTTCAGGTCATGATCTCACAGTTCATGGGTTCGAGCCCTGCATCTGTCTCTCTGCTGTCAGCGCAGAGCCTGCTTTAGATCCTCTGGGCCTGCTCCCCCCACCCCCCACCCCTTCTTTGCTTAGTTCCTCTCTTTCTCAGAAACAAAACAAAACAAAAAACCCTTTAAAATTAAAAAGTGTGGCAAAGGAGATTGAAAAATTGAAGAGATACAAAAGGAAGAGCTACTACTTCCTAAATACGATTTTAAGAATTTGCATACTAAAAAGAAACAATGAAAGTTACACCGTATAAACTTATGGTGCCAAATAATCTTGATGTATTTACTGTAGTTTTCATAGATGTTTGAAACTAAGTCCACTTTCTGTACATTACATCTTAAAATTCTTAAGAAAGTTTCTAAGCATCACAGTAGAGTTTTAAACTTTTCTGACATCTTGAAATGAAAACTAGGGTCACACTCTTTGTCATCTTCTTAACTGATAATGACATGCCCATGCCAGGGGTTAAAAAAGTATGCTTTTTATTTTAAGTATTGTTAAGTACGTGGTTTGACATATTTTTCCATCAGTTGATTTGCTTAAATCTATTGTTGCCTATAAGACTGTATAAAAGTAAAATTTATTTATTTTCTTTAATATATGAAAGAGTAATTGCTATGTAATAGACATCAATCTGATTTAGGAACAATATTATTTCTGCAAGCAAATATTAGATTAATTTCCCAAAAATTATTAAATATTTCCTATTAGTATGTTAAATTATTTACTTTATTTAGAAAAGCAGGGGTGCCTGGGTGGCTCAGTCGGTTAAGCGTCTGACTTCGGCTTAGGTCATGATCTCACGGTTCGTGGGTTCAGGCCCCACATCGGGCTCTGTGCTGACAGCCAGCTCAGAGCCTGGAGCCTGTTTCAGATTCTGTATCTCCTTCTCTCTCTGATCCTCCCCTGCGCGCTCTCTCTCTCTCTCTCTCTCTCTCTCTCTCAGAAATAAATAATAATATTAAAAGAAAAGCAGTTCAGTCATGTATAAAGTAAATATTGAAAAATTTTCATCCATACCCTCTCCTTTTAATCTCATACTTTAGCATTAGACACTATAAATAGTTTTCCTGTGTATCTGTTTAAACCTTCAAAGCACAGTCTATTGGAAAGAAATAAAGGATCCAAGATCATGAAGAAATAATGTCATAATCTTATGTTTCCATCCCTAAAACTATAATTCTGTATTTCAGAAATTTCTACAAAGTGTGCGGTCTATCCAAGCTAATGCTCTAATTGCTAATTAAGTGGAAGCCATCAAGTACTGACTTACTCAGTTCCCTGACCCCATTCCTCACAAGCCTGTTCCTCTTCTATTTCTGGAGGCCCTGCTTGAAAACCAGCTTCTCCACAGACTCTCCACTGCCGTGCTCTTGCAGACCTTGTTGTTCCTTGGGATCTTCCTCTTTTGTCACTTCAACTTCAGTCTCAAATTTGGTTCCTTAGTGCACGCTTATAGACGTAGTCATATGTGTTCTATTCTAAACAGATTTTCCCTGGTTCCTTTCTTGTTGAGTTACTGCTCAGTCTCTGTGGCAATAGCAAGCCCCCAGTGAGCCTTTGTTGAAGGAATAAATGAATGAATGCTTCAGATATGACATGTGAAGGTAAACCTATAACATCACTATTGGAAATTAACTTCTCACCATAACATCTAGGAGATAATTTGTCACTAAGCAGTAATTATAAACTTGTCATAACAAATACTGTTATTTTAAGTGCCAGTACTCTTACTGAAATGTATCTTGGTTTTAGGTTTACGTCTCGTTGGATCAGCCAGTGACAGCTTTAAATCTTTTCAAACAAGGCTTAGATAAGTTTCCAGGAGAAGTAACCCTACTTTGTGGAATTGCTAGGATCTATGAGGTAAGGCTTATATTATTCAAAAAGTTGATGTACAATTGAAGTTATATGCTACTTAAGAAGCTCATAGGCCCTTAGGGTCCTAGAAAGGAGAACAATTTATAAAATTATGATTATTGGCCTGTGGTTTTCTAACAGAGTCAGAGAGTTTTAGTGTATGTATTTAGTCAAACTAAGTTTTTATTGTGAAGTATTTGAAACATACAGAAGACTATATAAATGAGTTTCCCCCTATTGATAGCTTTCATCCAGCACATCTTTTGATCCATCTCCAAAGTCTGCAATGTCAGATTATCAACTTTTTTTCTATACATAGTAGATCTGTTTTGGGGAAAACTTTGTTTTCTATACATAGTAGATCTGTCTATTCTATTCTGTTGGTCTGTTTATCGTTGTACCAATATTATACCACCTTATGTATTACAGCCTCAAATACCCTTTGGCACAGCTCTGTGTTCATCTTTATCAGGAATGTTTTATCCATTTTGGACTTTTGCTTATTCTTACAAATTTTGGAGTAATGTTGTCAGATTCCATGGAAAGCCCCATTGAGATATCCTTCCTGCTGCTTAATTACTATAGCTTTACAATAGTTCTCTATCAAGTTGGACAAATTCTACCACCTGTTCTTCTTCGCAGCTGGTTATTTTTGACCCTTTGTTCTTCCATATTGATTTTAGGATTGACTTCTCGAGAACCACTAACAATCAAAATAATTCCTGCAGGCATACTGATTGGAATTTCATTGAATATATGAATGATGGGGGTGGTTGGGCTTGAGATCAAGCCCCACGTCAGGCTCTGAGCTGACACCACAGAGACTGCTTGGGACTCTCTGGCTCCCCTCTCTCTGACCCTCCCCCACACTCTCTCTTTGAAAATAAACATTTTAAAAAAATGAAAACTTTTATTAAAAAAATTTTTTTTCAATGTTTATTTTGAGAGACTGAGACGGAACATGAGTGAGGGAGGGGCAGAGAGAGAGAGGGAGACACAGAATCCGAAGCAAGTTCCAGGCTCCGAGCTCTCAGTGCAGTCTGATGCTCACAAACTTTGAACTGAACCAAAGTTGGACACTTGTCACCCAGGCACCCCACAAATTTTATTTTTAAATTGTCTAGAAATATTGTTTCCCTTTATGAGATAAAATTTTGATAAACACATAAGTAGAAGTCTTTGGTGATTCAATAAAAATAAAATACTGTATTAGTATCTCTGTATCTTTACGTGTGTGGCCCTAAGTGGAACATGAACAAACTTTTGACCAAGAAGCTGAAGAAATAAAATAGAATCAGTTTTTGAGAGCAGTGGTATTCATGCATAGTAGTGACTGCCTCAGTACAGTCAGAGCTCTCTGACCTTTAAGCTCTGCCTTCTGCACATTTCAGTCCTTCTGCCCTTCTTCTTAGGCAGGAGGTGCTGGCAGAAAGAGCTAGTCATACTATGGAATCTTTGACATGTGGTTGCTGGTTGAAAGAATTCCTTCCCAGCCTCTGTTATAGTCACTGTTGCTATGGCTGGGACAGGGAGTAGACCCTTTAATTAGCTCCCTTCATCCTTTCCTGCTCTGGGTCCGGCCAGGAGATGGAGAGCCATATCCTTTCCTGAGTGTACAGGGGAAGGTTTGGGGAGGAAAGTGGAATTGGAGTTGGCACTTGAAGTCGAGATGCAAGCATTCAAGTTGTGGGGACAATCTGTCATCCGCAGAAAGCATGATCAGGGACTAAATGCACACTTAAATAGTCAGATGCAGTATTTCCCCTTGAATCTAACAGTTAATTTCCCTGATGCCAAAGTTTACCATACAAAGACAGATTTCCATTGTATTCTTTTTCTCTTTATGTGACTATACGTTTAGAGTTAATTAGTACAGTTTGTTCATTAGCACTGCAGCCTACATTACATATACCTTAGGGATTTTTATATGTACACCAAGCTTTTCTCTGGAGGGATCCTCTTCCATTATGTTCTTTTTATCTCTCTGATTTTGATCATGTATCTTTCCAGTGCTTCCTATTTTAAAGCAAACGTGTTTATTGTTCATTGCTTATTTTGGATAGAAACTTGTTTAAAATTATGTATTCTTGCTAAATTTATTTGGTCCTGGTTTTAATTCTCAAGGAATTCTGTTTATCCATTTAAAAGGAAGGTCTCTCTTTGAACTGTTCTTTGTTAAAGATATTTGAAATGAGACACATTTTCCTAGAAAATATTGTTCTAGTGATTCTTGAAGTTTTCTGTGTATAAAAACTGACTGTAGGAGAGCTTGAGCAGGGCGGCCTACCTTCTGCCTACTGAATCAGATGCCCCAGAAGAGGGGACTCAGACATTTGTATGTTTGAGCTCACTGGGTGCTTCTGATGTATAATGGAAGTTATACATTGCTTAGTTATTAGCAATTTTATTATAAATAACTGAAATCGAATTATAGTTAGTATTTTATAAATTAGTTCCAAAACAACCACGATAAACAATACTTAAATACCAATGTTACTGCTTTGGATTCTGTGTCTCCCTCTCTCTCTGCCCTTCTGCCCTCCATCTCTCAAAAATGAGTAAATGTTAAAAAAAATTTTTAAATCTACATTAACAAAATTTATTCTAGAGTTACTGTAATTTAAACAATTCTGATGCAGGAATAGAGTAAAGGAGCAAAATAGAGTCCAGGTATGTTCATACATAAGAAAATTTATAATACTAAGAAGACTGCCTGTTAAATCAATAGGATTATTGGGTTATTGAAAAAATAGAGCTGGATGAATAATGATTTCTTACACTACAAGAATCTATTAGTGCCAGATGACTCAAAGTTCCAGGGACACCTGATCGGATCAGTCGGTTGAGAGTCCACCTCTTGATTTCGGCTCAGGTAATGATCTCACAGTTTGTGAGCCCTGCATCGGACCCTATGCTGATGGTGTAGAGCCTGCTTGGGATATTCTCTCTTTCTCTCTCTCTCCCTCTCTCTCTCTGCCTCTCCCTCACTCATGCTCTCTCTCTTTCTCAAAATAAACTTAAAATAAAATAAAATCATGAAAATTCCAGAGGAAAAAAAGACACAGATGAATTAGTTGTATAAACTTGGAATGGGAGTACCTTTCTAAGCATGATAGAAAGTTGAATGCCATAAGAGAAAAAATTAATAAAGTTGAGAACATAAAAGTCAAATTTTCTGTATAAATACATTTTCTATACAGTTAAATATTCTATAAAAACAAAACAAAACAAAAAATCCAACCCAACAAAAAAAGTGTAAAAATATCCAACAGGGAAAATATTTGCCATACCTGAGACAGACAAAAGGCTACTTTTAAGTTTCCTCAGTCTATATGTTGCTAGAAATTGCTGAATTTCAGGTGGTGTCAGATTGGTAAGAGAATTAGACACATGCACGTGTGAAATATATACACAGAGAAATGTGCCTGCATACAAACTTACAAGTTCTCAGTTAGTCAGGATTGTAAGCCCCTATGAAAAAGAGTTATTTCCTCAGAGCAGCTGTGGGTCAGAATCGTGGTGTGGCTGTTGCACAGGCCCTTATTCTCTTACTTGCGTATACAGTGGCTGCTGATGCTCTCCGTGCAAATAAAGTCACGCTAGAGATGAGACAACAGCCAATTCCTCTTATTCCTTGTTACCAAGGCCCAGTAAGAAGCCTTTCATATCTAGGGCTTGGTAACACCCATCTGGAAGAACTTAAACCATCTCTTCTTTTCCTCCAAAGGAAATATTTATAAACACTGGGCCTTTCTGGTTTTGAATTTAAGTCACATCAGCAGACTGGTCTAACCTGAAAGGAGCAAGCTGAGTCAGTGCTCAGGGATCCCCAGAGATCCCTCAGAGCCACATCTCTGCCCCCAGCATTCTTGTCTCCAGGAGGTTCCCACCCAAGCCCCACATAACACAAGCCAGTAGTAAAAGGGCAAACGATAGGATAGGAAAACAGGCAAAGGACATGAGTCAGCAGTTCACAGGAAAAAAAATACAAATATGTGGTATGTTAAATGCCTCATCTCTGTCCTAATTGAAGAAATAAAAGCTAAAACAATAACGAGATGCCTTTTTTCCCCTCAATCAAGTTGACAAAGATTCCGTGGCCTGTAGGGTTGTCAAGGCTGTTGAGGAACGAACCCCACATATGCACACTGATGCTAGAGTGTATGTTGTCACAACCCATTTGGAGGCAGTTCATGATTACTGAGGAGATTTCCTTGTAGGAATTTTCCTTAAGGGTTTTCATACAAGTTCAGAAAGATATGAACAAGGATGGTTTTATAGTGGGTTTTTTTGGCAAAAAAAAAAAATGGAAACAAACCAATACTTCATCAAAAAGGAGCTAGTTAAATAAATTGTGATCTATGTCTTGGTGGAAAACTATGCAGAAATGAAAAAGTAATAGGGTATAACCCTTTGTATCGATACGAAAGGAGTCAAGATACTGAGTGAAAACAATGAACCATATATCAGAATGCGTACAATGATTTTGTGTATGGTTTAAAGATGCATACATGTATGTGTGCACATATACGAACAGGATTTCTTGAAAAATACTCAAGAAACTATTCACAGAACCTCTGCAACTGGATTTAGGGAGGAGACTTTTATAACTTTTTGCAATGTTTACATTTGTCTAGCATACGCCCATATTTTACAATAACACATTTGAAGAACTACATATGAGATTGCCAAAAAACTTAGTTTCAGTCTAAAATTCCTCAAGATTACATAAATTATATGCCCATCAATCAAGTGTACAAATGTTCCCAAATAATTTTATAGGACTGAAAGCCTTGAAACAATTATCCATTCAGGCTGGAGTCTTTTTGCATTGGGCTGAATTGTGTACCTCCCAAATTAATATGTTGAAGCCCTAACCCCCAGTGTGATGGTAGAGATGAGGCCTTCCAGGTAATTCAGTTTAGAGGTGGTTGTGAGGGTGGGGGCCTGATGGTGGGATTAATGCCCTTAAATGAATAGACACCAGAGGTGCTGCTGCTACTTCTGTTTCCCTTCCTCTCTCTGCCATACAAGGACCAGAGAGAAGGTGATCCTCTATAAGCCAGTAAGAGAGTCCTCACTAGATTCCCGCCATACTGGCATCTTGATCTTGGATTTACAGCCTTCAGAACTGTGGGAAAATAAATTTCTGTTGACTAAGCCACTTGCTCTATGGTACTTTGTCATAGCAGCTCGAGCAGATTAATACACCAATTTTGGCAGCTGTAACACTGAAACCTTGCTCTGTGGGATGTTGTTGCCCCAGAAACCAGAAAAGCCATGTTCATGGGGCCTCATGTCTCATGGGGCCATTAGGTTCAGTGGTCAGGTTACTGCCTAGGTGTGGAGATTATTCTTTGGAAGGACGCATCTTAGTTGGCTCAGTCTGCTGTAACAAAATACCATAAACTGGGTGGCTTAAAGGACATAACTTTATTTCTCACAATTCTGGAGGATGGGAAGTCTAAGATCAAGGTGCTGGCCAATTCATTTCCTGGGGAGGGCTCTTTTCCTGTTCTGTAGACAGACTCCTTCTTTCTACATCCTTACATGGTGGGGAGAGAGATCATCTCTCTGCTGTCTCTTCTTTAAGGGCTTCAGCCTCATGACCTATTACTTCCCAAAGACTCCATTCCAAATACTATCGCCTTGGAGATTAGGGCTCCACTACGAATTTAGGAGGGACACAAACATCTAGTCTATAGGAGGGGAGATTTGGTGTATGGGGGGGGGCGGGGACTAGAGGGGAGTGAGGTGCTCATCTGTTCAAGTTTTACAAGGCTTTTGTTTTACCAAAAAGAAAATACACCTCTAATGAAAGCCTTTATTATTCATGCTTTTCAGTGGGTTCTTATATCCCTAAAATATTAAAGGATATTTGGAATTGTTGCACATAAAAGCAATGTAAAATTCAGGAGAGAATGAACGCACAACTAAAGAATGTATTAACAGCCTTGTGTTTTGAAAAAAAATAGTTTTTAGCCACAAACAAGGAATGAAAAAGGCTCTTCTCTTGAGAAATGAAATCCTGGCAGCACTTTGGATAAGAATTTCAAATATAAAGTATGGGAACAGATATACATCCAGGATGAGTTTAGATCAACTCAACAAATGTCTTATTGGGGTTTTATGGAACTAATCAACATCACCGCCTTCATCACTCCCAAGTAGAGAACCAGCTGAGAGACAGATACAAGATTCAGAAAAATAGAAGATAAACCATTAACTTTATTACTCATAGAAGCAGAATTGGAGCATGTGGCTTTAGATTTGTGACCGAAAGGATGTGATAGAGTTCTGCCTCTGAGTTAGAACGCCTAATCCACCCGTCCCAGACAGGACTGTGCAACGTGCAGACCTTCTGTCCCCAGGGGAGCCTGCTCCACCTGGCAGCGCAGAGAGGGGGGCATGTGGAAGGCAGGCTGGCTCCCGAAGAGGTTCTAGAAGGGGCTGAGACAAGCACACTGGGTTTGCCTTCTGGGAATGAGTAAGAGTGGGAGGAAAGGCCCCAAATATTTGAATATGAACATTTCTGAAAGTATGGTCCAGGGATCCCCAGGGGTCCCTGAGACTCTGTCAGAGGGTCCATGAGGTCAAAACTGGTTTCGTATTGCTAAATATTGAGGAGATTGGTGATAATATTAATAGATGTCATTTTTTTTTATATCGAATAACAAAATGCATTTATCTCTGTACTGTCGCCTCCATTGTGCTGTGAACCTGAAACTGCTCTAAAAACAATAAAGGCCTGAAATGAAAAAACCACATTGAAGTCCATGGAGGTTAAAAAAATTCTGTCCAAGATATGAACAGACACTTCTCCAAAGAGGACATCCAGATGGCCAACAGACACATGAAACAATGCTCAGAGTCCCTCCTCATCAGGGAAATACAAATCAAAACCACACTGAGATACCACCTCACACCAGTCAGAGTGGCTAAAATAAGCAAATCAGAGGACTCTAGATGCTGGCAAGGATATGGAGAAACGGGCACCCTCCTACCCTGTTGGTGGGAATGCAAACTGGTGCAGCCCCTCTGGAAAACAGTGTGGAGGTTCCTCAAAAGATTAACAATAGAACTCCCCTATGACCCAGCAGTAGCACTGCTAGGAATTTACCCAAGGGATACAGGAGTGCTGAAGCATTGGGGCACATGTACCCCAATGTTCATAGCAGCACTCTCAACAATAGCCAAAACATGGAAAGAGCCTAAGTGTCCATCAACTGATGAATGGATCAAGATGTGGTTTATCTATACAATGGAATACTCCATGGCAATGAGAAAGAAAGAAATCTGGCCATGTGTAGCAACATAGATGGACCTTGAGGGTGTTATGCTGAGCGAAATAAGTCAGGCAGAGAAGGACAGCTACCATATGTTTGCATGTATAGGAGGATTAGGAGGAACTTAACGGAGGACCATCGGGGAGAAGAAGGGGGGAAATAGTTGGGGAGAGGGAGGGAGGCAAACCATGAGAGACTTTTTAAAAAATATATATGTATTTTTAATGTTTTATTCATTTTTTGAGAGACAGAGCATGAGCATGAGCAGGGGAGGGGCAAAGCATGAAGGAGACACAGAATCTGAAGCAGGCTCCAGGCTCTGAGCTGTCAGCACAGAGCCCGACGCGCTGCTCGAACCCACAAACTGTGATATCATGACCTGAGGTGAAGTCAGTCACCTAACCGACTGAGCCACCCAGGCGCCCCAAACCATGAGAGACTCTTGAATGCTGAGAACAAACTGAGGACTGATGGGTGGGTGGGGGCGGAGGGGGGTGATGGGCATGGAGGAGGGCACTTGTGGGGATGAGCACTGGGTGTTATATGGAAACCAACTTGACAATAAACTATTAAAAAAATTCTGTCCAATAAGAAAGCACTGTGTGGTGCTTCTCCCAATAAAATATGTTATGACTAAAATCTAACAAAAATAGAAGTCCTCGTCTGATAAGAACGACTGAGAGGTTCTCACATTATGTGTCTTATAAATTGAGAGGCAGAAAGACTTCTGTGAAGTGAGGGCATTAGGGTTATCTCCATGAGGGCTGTGGAGCCTGGATTGGCCTTGAAGGTGAATTTGAGAGCTAAGATGGTAATAACATTAGATGCACTGATTTATAATTATCAGGGGGACTCGCGGCCTTCCGGCTACCATTCTTGTCCACTTTGGTGTCTCCTGTGTGTAGCCACCTAATCATCCCCACAAGTGCCCTCCTCTGTGCCCTATTCTTATTTGCTCGTCTTCCTACTCGCTGTAACCTTGAGGATAGCAACTTTCTATCTTTTTGTTCCTACTGTGTCCTCAGAGCTTGGAGCAGAGTCTGGCACATAGGGAGGAGGCTCTCAATATTTGTTGAATCAGTAACATAAATCAGCCAGAAAAAAAAAAAATCTCAGCAATAAACTATCACTCTTCTGTTTTGATGGAAAATAGGAAATGAACAATATTTCATCAGCAGCTGAATACTACAAAGAAGTTTTGAAACAGGACAATACTCATGTGGAAGCCATTGCATGCATTGGAAGCAACCACTTTTATTCTGATCAACCAGAAATAGCTCTCCGGTTTTACAGGTGTGCTTTACAGTCTCTTTGTAGAACTCCTTTCCTGTGAAATACTGGTGAAACCATATTGGAATGAAAATGTAGACAGACAGCACATAGGCCATGTCTACAGGAGACTAAAAGTTCAAGCACCCAGCTGTTTTATGAGCATTAAGGTGATATCTAATAATTTGAACATGCACAGATATTTGGTATGTTGCAGAAACCTACCCAGATAATTGAGGGTTTTTTTTTTTAATGTTTTATTTATTTCTAGGAGAGAGAGAGAGAGAGAGACAGCGTGAGGAGGGGAGGATCAGAGAGAGAGGGAGTCACAGACTGAAACAGGCTCCAGGCTCCGAGCTGGCAGTCAGCACAGAGCCCGACGCGGGGCTCGAACCCACGAACCGCGAGATCACGACTTAAGCGAAAGTCGGACGCTTAGCCGACTAAGCCACCCAGGCGCCCGGATAATTGAGTTTTTAACACCATGTCATTGTATGCATCAACCATACACTGCTTCTGTTAACCCCACCACATACAATATAAAGACCTGGAAGCTGAAATAGTGACGAGATTTGCAAAGAGCAGTGGATGCCAGCTTCTGAGCTCTGACGAGGACCTGCAACAGGTCCCCTCTTCTGTGACATAGTGTCAACTCTTGTCCAAATAATTTTTCAAAGTCTAAATATGTTCTTATCTCTGGTTCCCTTTTGAGCACATCCTTATTTCATCCTACAGATGGTTTCTGAGATTTCTTTTTTTTTTTTTTTTTTTTA